AGAATGAACAAGAAGACCGGTGACAATGCCAAGATGATCACCAACTTATTCACCCCAATTATACACATTTTGAGCCTAATGATCTATTCATTTCTCAACCCATGAGCCTAGCCTACGTTACGTCCCTTGTAAAGTCTCTTCAGATTAGGGCACTTGAACTAACGAAGGATTCAGATGTTTATAAGCTTAGCTCGAAGAAGTGCGAGCAAGTCCATTTCTATCTCGTTTTGCAGGGTTCTTGACTTGTAAACCCGGAGACGATTGCGGAGTATTGTTCTTTCAATAGCCTTGACTCAAAGAGTCCCCTTTTGCTAAGCCATTGACCAAGCCCATGTTACGGTCCTGACAAAGACCTCTCAGATTGGTAAGGTCGTACCGCTTGCGAGAATACTCGGACCCTTGTCCACATGATGAAGGTGAGATGGAGTGATTCTCATAAATCAGCATTTTTCAATGAGAATGAGAGAAAGCCCTTTTAGATTGGAAGTCCCTCATTCGGCATTTTCAAGACACCCACTTGTAAGTTCGGATTGTCTTGTCATGATTGTTCCCCAGCGGAGTTTGTAATACCGATTTGACAAAACCATCGTGCATGAAAATCAGTCGAAAATCATAGTGCATGTGTATATGTGTTCTTAATGGCGAATGCATATTACATGTTACTTAAAACCGTGTCTAACAGGAGACACACCTTCAGAGTTGGAGATATCGCCAGGTAAGTATATCTCTATCCCTAGGATGTCTATGACTATCTAGGTGTCCCTAACTTGTTCGAGCAATCGTCAGGTCCCACATTTGATCATTTTTGCGATCTCTAGATGCCTTTGATGACGTTTAGGTGTCTATTGATCAAGCTTTTTCAGGTACCTCTGATGATATCCAGGTACTTTGTCAAGGAACCCTTGAACACTTGGGCTAGCCCCTTTGTTCACCAAATCACAGATTTTCATACAATCTCGAGAAGATTCCCCCGTTACTCACCTATGAGCAGGTATAGGTGAGGCGGCCAAATCTTTGCATATGAGCAGGTATATGTAAAGGTCGGAATTCTCCCCAAATCTCAGGTATTCCCCCGTTACTCGCCTATGAGCAGGTATAGGTGAGGCGGCCAAATCTTTGCATATGAGTAGGTATATGTAAAGGTCGGAATTCTCCCCAAATCTCAGGTATTCCCCCGCTACTCGCCTATGAGCAGGTATAGGTGAAGTGGCCAAATCCTTGCATATGAGCAGGTATATGTAAAGGTCGGAATATTCTTTCAACCCCAGGTGTTCCCGCTACTCGCTTATGAGCGGGTATAAGTGAGGCGGCCAAATCTTTGCATATGAGCGGTATATGTAAAGGTCGGAATATCCTCTTGACTTCAAAAGTTCTCCCGTAATTCACTTATGAGCGAGGTATAAGTGAAGCGGCCAAATCTTTGCAAACACCTATGGAGATGTATAGGTAGTTGGTAAAGATCGGAACTATTCTCACGAATCCAGGATGATGATTGGATACGTCGAGCTTTCTTCGTGTGTTTTGACTTAACTGCAGATCGCCGAAGTTCATCAACGTATATCAGGCAATACCTATGGAAATGAGCCCAGACATTTGCCAAACAACATACAAAGTCCGAGTCGTGCCTCGAATTGCGCTATCTCGCTCCTGTCAGATAAGTAATTCCAGGTATGTTTTCCACTCATGCTAGCATACATCATTTCTTAATGCATTTTAAAATGGGACTCATAATCCCGACAAAAACAACATTCATTACATTTGCATGGTTGAAATTTAAGTATCATTTAGTCTTTGAATGTAACCTCTACAAGCTCACCTTCAAAGAGGGGCTGCTGTTGACACCTAAATTTTGGCGTATCATTTAGTGTAATTTGCATAGAAAATTAGGGATTAAATTTTTAACCCCTAAACAAAAATATTTAAATTGCATAAACATATAGTTGAGGTCCATTTAATTTAATTGCATTTTTGCATCGGTTAGCGATGGCGAATGAGCTTAAAATTTCATCGAACGAGACTCGGCTCGCTTGGAATGCAAGGGCCAGGAATTACAAGTCAAACGGGCTCGGTTGTTTTAATTTGAGCTTAATTCAGCCCATTATCCTTAATTAATTCAGCCCATTTAAATTAAATTAAAATCTAAGCCCAAGCCTAAGCCCATTAAGACTAGGAAGCCCGGTTAATTAACCTAGGGTTGCGATATAAATATGTCGTTATGCGTCATAATCAAGGGGGTGCTCATAATTTTCAAGATCAGAATTTTCAGAGAGAAAAAGTGAGAGAAGAAAAAAAAAGAAGAAGGAGAAGAGAGGGGAGCGACCACCCAAAAGGTTGTCGGAGGGACTTCTGCACATGAAAAGAAAAAAAAAAACGTGAAGAAGGAGACTTGCACTTGGAGAATTGAACATCCCATCGCAGCAAAGTCTTCAAAGTCAAATTCTCTCTGCTCCCTGCAACGTGCCCAACATCCCACGAGTGTTTCTGAAGCTCCTTGTTGACCTGGCTGCCCTCTGCTTTGCACCACATCAATCCCGTGCTATTCCTGTCGTCGCTTTGCTCCACTTGGCTGGTCACAACATTCTCGGGTTGCAGCGAACGAAGGAGTTGCAAATTCTCATCTATCACACTTTCGTTTTTATCTTTCGCAGGTTCTTTAGTGATCGGCTCGGCATGCCAAGTGGTCTTACTCAAGCGGCAAATTGAGTCGCTCTCTAGATTTCCCTACGACATAACTACTGTTCGCTGGTTCTTCATCAATTCGAGCCCACCGTGAAGCAGCTCCCATCAGTCGGGTTGAGAGCTCCACACCGCAAGTCTACACCGAGAAGCCACTATCGTGAGTACCTAAACCGCGGTAGCCGCGAGCCAGTCCTTGACCGAGAGCCACGCCATCGTAAAGCCCACCGCGCGCTCCACCGCGCCCGTCGCCGGACGCCACCGTGAGCCGCCGCGCCGACGCCGCGTCGCCCGTCGTCCGAGTCCGATCCCGATCCACAATTCGAATTTGGAAGTTATCTGCAAATTAGTAAATTCAACATTATCCGATATTTTCAGAATATTTAATTTCCTAATATGGATGTTTGAATATTTCGTGAATATCATGTGGATATTTAGATATCTTAGGATAATGTTCGATATATCCGCAATATTTTTAAATATTCAAAATTAGGAAAACTTCCTAATTTAGCAACGTATCTGGACAACTATCCGACCTTATCCCTAAGGTTCGATACGCGGCGATACGGAAAATTATTATCCTATCCATAACCACTTGGGTACGATAATGATTTTTATTCGCTTTCCAAATTTGAATAATCGGCTTTCCGTCGATATCTATAACCCTATAGATATGACCGATAGTTTGATTTTTGTGCCTAATCCGAGTTTGAAACAAATATGGCGGATCGCGTGGACGTTTTGAATGTGGTTGCTATCCTTGTTTATTTAATTGCTTTCCTTTTTCAAATAAACAGAAAATTCAAAAAATATTAATTAGATTTGAATTAGAGTTTTTGCATGTCTAGGAATCCTAAATATATCTAGAAGATAGAGTAGTTATTTAATTTAAATTAGGACTTGAGATGATCTATTTCCTAGTTTAAATTAAGTAATATTCTAATCTTAATAGATTATTCAGGTTATTTTATTATTTCGAATTTTAACAAAAATTCTAAAGAGAAATCATGCTAGGGTAGATTAAGTCATCATAGTTTGCATGTTAATTTAGGCATTTTTATTATTCCGAATTTAAATTGAGAAAATACCAAAAATAATTATTTGTCCGGTCATTAGAAATAGGTCACGTCGTCGCACGACATATAGTTTGCATGCTAGATTGCATTAATCGCATGTCATTTTCGCATGTCATTGCATATAGGCTAGATTTCATTTAAATAAGTGAAAATCCAAAAAAGAAATTGAGTGAATTGCTTGTTAATTAGAAATCATATTAGGGTGTCAATGTGATTTTCTAGCTAACAATGCAGATGCTTACGTTGCTTCCAGGTAAGTAATTCTTCCAAACTTACAATTTATTTAATGCTTTCTGGGTGTTAAATTGGTGGTTTGCGCACTCGCATGAACACCTCACATGTTAGTAACTAAGTTGAAATGGATCCAAACTACCTGCCAAAACATTTTTGAAAAGAAAAGGTACCGAAAGGGCGTTAGACCAGATCTAGCGTAATCAAGTCCCCGGGCTTAGAATCTCTGGTTCGTAGGAATAAAACATATCTCCCTATGTTTTATTTAGGTTTCTAATCAACCTACCATAAATTGATTAGTGGCGACTCCAAGCATAAAAACTTTTCCATGTTAAAAACTTAAACCCTAAGTTGCGAATTGGTAGGGCTTGGGAGGGCCCGAGTTAGGCTTAGTCTTAACAATCCATTAGCCTGAGAGGAATTTTAGGTCGCGACAGAAGCAAAAAGAAACTGAAGAACCACTTTATGCACTGAGATTTCTGTTCATCTGTATATTGGATTTCCCTTCATAGTTCACGATCCTCGTCAAGAATCTTGCTACACCAGCAAACTTTTCTCTAAGTCAATTTGCTGAATAAGCCTTGGCCAATCCTCTGGTGGCAGACCCCGTCTTGTGCTGTCGGGCACGAGTGAGCGCGCAGTTTTTTGCAACCTACCATGATTGTAAATCTAAGTTCTTCTGTTCTTGTTTCAAGGTTTGTACTCTCTCGCAAATTTGGTTGCTTTTTTTTACTTCACAGCAAATGATGATTGACGATGCTACTCTCTTTTTCGCCCTCGATCGGGTCCTCTAATAAACACTACAAACAACAAAGTAATCTTGACGATCATAAAGATTAAAATCTGGTCCGACGCTGCACGGAGACCTCCATATCGCAGGAGAACTAGAAAAACCAATGTATGCAGACATTTTCTTTACACTTGAAGGCTCTTTCTCACGGCGCCAAGCACAGGGAGACCTAAAACAGTTAGGTATAGCATCACATGCTCAAGTGCAGAGAGAGAGAGAGAGAGAGAGAGAGAGAGAGAGAGATTCATATGATTAATTATGTAATGAAACAAATACAGGGGCATGAAGGCCAAGGAACCCGTTAGATGTTAGCCTATAACTAGCCAATTGATCAAAGGGTATTAACAGTTACGCCACAAATCATTAGGAGGCCGTGAAAAGAAGCGGGAAGGAAAGTAAAAGCTAAAAACCAAACGGTCACACATCACGCTAGCATATCTTACTCTGAGAAACCCGATAAAATCTTCATACGCCATCTAGATCGGTCTAGTGCCTATTCTCCGAAATTCCTGCTCCGTTGGTCATGCATCTCTGAAGCGAAATGATCTTTCACAGCGCCTTGATCGTTCTCACTATATATATGTCGATCTTCTGCCTGTCTTCCTTGTTTATAGGAGACGCAGGATGAACTGCGCTTTGACGTGACTTTCCTAACAAACAGAGGGCGGTCTATCACTATGTACGATCGAGACATTCAAATATATCTTCGGATGTGAAATGATCCTGGACATGGGAGTGTCCCGATCAGCTGATTGGAAGTGGCAAGAGCGACTCTTTGTAGTCATTACATGAAAAGAATTGGCTATCCGCGGCATCAGTAGGCTGTGTAGTTAAATTGCCACCGCAGCTATTTGTTTCTTGGACAAGCTGAATAAGGGACCAAAACACATCCATCCTTGTCACATGCCTATTCGCCTGTAAGATGTTCCAAAATTATCTGATGTCAAAAGCTTTTCCAAAAAACAGGGTGGAAAAAGGCATCTTTATTGGAATTTTAGCCCAAAACTGACAACTGAAACTAGACTTGACGGATCATCCAGGACATACCTCAACAATGAAGCGGGACCATATCTTGTCCTCTTGAACTCCCATCTCTCCTTTCAATATATCAAGGCCAAAGCCTCGGATTATATCCGCTATCTCAAGGAATAATCCTTGATCGTCGCAAAGCATCTGGAACAAAATATAATGACAGGTTTAGATAATCAAGTTCAGCAGAAAAATAGGGGCATACTCGGTCACTTCTTCATCCTTCATCCATTACCTCAATAAGCATTTGTCCCGGCGGGCCAAGGTCTTCGACTACTATAGGACACACCATGGCTTGACCTCCAACTTCGTAGGCCCAAGTAGCACCGCCTCTGCTGCCATCTCCTACATCCCTCCCATCTCTTTCGTTTTTGAGGACCAAATTGTTACCTTGGCCAATCAGCTGTACAAAATCAAGCAAAAAATCAGCGCTACACAAGTCGATCAAGTAAGGCATCTGACTTTAGGTAGTAAATGGGTAATTGGTGACAAAAATGGACCTTTGAGTCATCAGCTCGCTTAAGCTTATCAGCATACTTCATCATGTTTTGCAAGAAGAGCATGTGTTTGATTGTGCGATCTAACAAAGCATCAATGCTACACTGGAACATAACCCCACAAAGAAGAACAACAATGTTAGCTAAAAAAGAAACTTATTGTATTCATGACAAGCTGAAGCTCTCAACTTATTTTTACGGTTATAAAGTTCCCTAGTTGGTACCTTTGCCCCATTAGGGATGATCCCTCGCAACTCTTTGAGGCGGTCTTGTATCTGTTGACGGTCTTTCGGTCTTGGCCTTGTACTTTCACCGGGTCTAGCCCTTTTCCTGGGGGCTTTCATGAGTTCTTCTGTCCTCTTTGGTGGCATGACAGTCACGCCTCTTGTGTTGATGCTATAGCTATCATCAATCCATAAGCCGACCTGCGACTTAGGGAAAACCGCCTCCCTTTGAACAATATCTTTTTCCTTGCATAAATAGTGCATGGGGTTCATAGAGGTCCTCATACTCCCAGAGCAAGAAAGATTCAACGACTGAAACTGTTTAGAATCATTGTACGGTTGCTCTACCATTTTTCTTTGAGCAAAGGGAGGTGATTCCTGAAAACCTAAATTCGTCATTGAGTTCTGGTTACCTTCAAAGAAATCTTCTAATCCCAATTCGGAGAATAGACCTTTCCAAGGGCCGCCATCTTCATAATATTCAGGCTCGAGTTTGCATCCGGCATTCGCTCCAAAATCGTCAAACACTTCTCTTTCAACATTTTGAATATTAATCGTCTTCTCTTCCATTGTGAAGGCATTAGAAATGGAATTCCACGGAGAGCCAGTTGCTTGATTGATCGAAAGTTCGCAAGTATAATCACCTCTATCGATGACAGATGAGATGGAGGAAAGTGCCGTGGAATGTGCAAGGCTCTTATCCAAAGAGCTGGCCATTCCAAAGAGGCCGTGCTCCGGCAAATCGGAAAACCATTCAGAAAGATCATCCACCAGACATGAATTAGAACAATCTTCGGTTTGTTGAAGATAATCAGCAGATCTTTTCTGGCCAGATGATACACTTGGAAGTTGACCACAAATTTCTTGCATGTGTGGAGCACATTGTCGGTTGTTCGCGGAGTTCCCCGAGATGTCTTGCATTGTTTTCCTCTCTACCAGTCCTCTGTCGCATGATGATGATGGTGTTGAGACAGCGGAAGAAGCACAGGAACTCTTCACTGAGCTGCTAAAGGACGTTAACTTGTTCTTTCTCGTACTTGTAGAGTACGCATGAGGAAAATTCTGTGGCAATGATGGCTCGAGTGAAGTTAAAGCCGAACCACCGCCGCTCCATGAACTGGTGCAAGTTCCGGAAGATGCATATTTCATGAGAGAGGTTGGTTGTAAATGCCGAGGCTCATGAGAAGCAATAGGCATGTCGGGATGCGAGATGGGCTTTTGCATTTGGTGGTTAAAATTTGAAACTCCCCCAAGCATAGAGACCATGTCTCCAGAGTATTTGTCCCACGTATGTCCCAATAATGGGATCAGATCTTCTGCAGAGCGGGCATCTCCTGTCAGATCTGTGTGGTTGTCGCTGTTCACTGACATCAGATTCCCGCTGTGGGAGCTCCGAGATAAGAGTAATGAAGCAAACAACCCATTCAGGACATGGCCGTCATTGTTCAGAGACGAAGGATCATTTTCCAAGTGAAGCCTGCCATCGATATTTCCCATCTCTCGAAACAGTTTCTTTACTTTATCCAAGAATTCCGAACTCTCTGGAATCTGGAGAAGTAATAGTTACAACTGATTAGAATAAGCATCTATCAAGAAGGAAGTGAACTATATTAAACTCCATGTTAGATCATTTTATATCTAAAGCATGCAGACGGGAACATCCATAATGAAGCAGCACAACAACAAGCACAGACCATCCCTTTGATTATGTTGTTTCAGATATGCAGTTCGTTTTAGGATCTCGACATATATATATATCCCTTAAAAAGTCAGGTAAATCTGAAAATCAGGAAAGAAATCAGAATCCATTGGCTGTTTAAACGAAGCTCCTACTTTTCTTGGAAGCAGATCTAGAAAATGGCCCAAGAGCACGCATTATTAGTCTCTGCAGCATTGTCTTTTAGACACAAGAGAGACCGGATTCTAGATGATCAAATTGGGATGGATTTAAACTCACGTAATTAGCATTCACAAACTTTGAGGAAGTCTTTCAACTAACCTTTTTCATGGCTCCAACTTGCACGACTCCCAGTTTTTCCACAGGGATAACCCCGATAGTCTGCGAAATAAGCACAATAACTCATTCATTAACAAACATAGCTCATGCAATCACACTAAAAATCAGTTCAAGGGAAGAACAACCATCTCAACATGTTACATGGAAGATATATTCACTATATACAAGGTCATAAAAAGACCCACCTTAATTCCAGCTGAAAACTCCCGATGCATCTCAGACTCATCCTGATGATAAGCAAGTTCACGCTATTTAGAAGATATTACTTTCAGATTTAGCTCATGATTGACTAAGTAGGCAACACTAGTACAAAAGCGGGAAGAATAAGGGATAGTAACCTGGAGACCAGTGTTATCAACACAACAGAATTGTTCTCCACGAACATCTTCATTTATCCATCGCTGCTTCCCCGTGAAAGCGGCTTGGCCAATAACTCTACATGAAAGAAGTGGCCACGGGTAAGGAAAAGATAAAACAAACAGTAATAGCGTAAAATTTGGAAAATGAGTCTGGAACTCGGAAGTAGCAAAGGTACAGAATAAATGGAAAAAGTACGAAACAAATTATTTAAAGGCATACCCCTCACCCAGCAGGTGCACCTGTTGGATCACACCGTTCACCGCCGTCTCTAATTGTTCTTCAAAATAAGCATCTTCCACGGTCAACAACCTGGCAACATCCATTTCAATTTCTCAACTTTTGTGTTATGAAATGTCGAGTACAATCCAAATGCAACTAAAATCAGAAAATTAACCAAGTTCAAACTTCCCATAACTCTAACATAGGCCAAGAAAAAGTCAATTCCTTTCTTCCCTTCCTCTTGTTATTAATTTGATGTTGGTTACTTTTTCTTTTTCTTCTTCTAATGCCCAGGGCGTTACTGACTTTTACTCAAATTACAGGAAAGTCAGATCAGTTTCGCAAGAGCTGATCCCAAAAAGGATGTAAGGTGATGATGCTAAGAGCTGCAGAATTAATCCTAAGAGGAGAGGACTCCACCAAAGCCTTAAAACTCCCTCTTTTCAAGAAGTACTTGACACACAGAAAAGTAATTTGCTTTAGAAGATCCCATGTCCCCTGCTATACCAAAAATTTAAAATGAGAAATTTGATTTTATTTAAAAAAAGAAGGATGTTGACAAAGCCATCTGAACACTTGCTATCTCAAGGACAAATTATAAAGAAGCTAAACTTTGAGCTGTTCTCAAGTAGAGACTCCGTTAAAATATTGCAAAGGGACAAAGTCGAGTCACTCAAGAACATTAGCATCAGATACAAACGCGAAATTTGCGCTAATAAATGCCTCAAAAGGAAGGCAAAAACAAAACAACAGGAAAAAAAGAACCTTTATGCAACAAACAAAGAGGCAGAACAGTAAAAATTTCATCGGAAACTCGAAATGGACGCACACAAGAGACATGAATAAGAAGAAGAGCTCACATGGGGTTCCTGTGATCAAAACGCCAGAACACACCGTATGACCAGCCGTTGTCGCAGCACAGGCTCTTGAGCTTGGTCTTCACCACCGAAGCCATCCCTGCTCCGCTCACTCCAACGCCTCGTTTCTTCGTCACTCAAGCCCCATTCGACTTCAAAAACCAGCCTCCACTCGACCCCTCAAAATCAGGAAAAACCCACGCACGAACCGAATGCGAAACGGACCCAGAACCAAGTGTCGCCGTTCTTGAGCTTTCGAAGCGACTTTCCCTGAAGCAAGCAAGAACCTTTCTCGCAGCTTGATCTTGAGCTCCCAAGAAAAGCAGCACTGTTTTTTCTTGAGAAGACGGGCAAAGGGACGTCCTTTGCGTTCTGTCTTTTGTTGTTCTCGTTGCAGAAGCGGACGTGCTCTGTTCTGAGAACGAACAGGGGAAACAAATTAAAGAAGAGGGAAGAGGTGGGTCTGTGAGAAAGAGAGCGAGAAGAGGATCAGGAGCTGGTCTGTGTATATATAGAAGCTGGGTTTGGTTCCTTCTTGGGTGATTGTCTTGCTGCTTTGACGCTTCGAGACGTGCATGTATAGTGTGAGCCAGGGGAATTGGGCGAGAGAGTCCCTTTGCTGTTGGTTTATGGACAAAAGATGAGATCCGATGTGGCTCGAGCACGAAGTGGAACAGAGGGACATCCTCGCCATTAAATGAAGTCTCTCTCTCTCTGTCTCTGTCTCTGTCTCTGTCGATGCGTTCCCGGAGACAACCGGTCCCATACCCTTTCCTTTTTGCCTTTGAAGTTTCCCCCAAATGGACCCTTTCACCGGCTGCAGCCGGTCGGTCCGCTTGAATTTCCTAATTGTCATTGTGTGGTAAGATGAGAGATTAGGGGAGAAGCTAATGATCGCTAGTGAAATTGCCGAGCTAGCTGACATAATTACGAATTTTAATTACCAGACGAGGTGAGTACGTGAAATTGCGAATTGCTCGGTGTAATCAAGCCGGTACAATCGATTTGTAGAAGAACTATTTGCGTAAAGGGGTTTCGTGAAAACTATGCGCTTTTCCGAATTAAGAGAATTTGTCGAAATTAGTGGGTTTTGGGCAGTGTGGAAACGTCCCCTCCTCCCACCGAGAAGTTGGCACTCGAGAATGATCAAAGAGGGGGAGGGTCACTGTCCAAAAGGCCAACCCCCAGGAGCATTTGGTACCATTCACACGTCCCAATCAAGTCCCGGCCACCCAAGATTTAAAAAATTGCCATTTTAATCAATCAGGCCATGGTTTCATGGGTAAGTTAAATTTCCCATTGCCCCCTATTCTAGTTAAATTTCACCCATCTTTGATTAGAGCCTTTGAAGGCCAATTGATAGCGATGGAAAGGAGCTCATGCATTGAATCCCCAAAGAGATTAACACCCCCAACTTGAGCCACCAACCCCACAATCAAATCTTGACTATCACACCTTATTTTTTCGAAAATGCATAAAAATTGAAAAATTCTAGAAAAATTCATAAAAATTTCAGAAAATAAAAAAAAGTCGGATTTCGGGAAAATATGAAATTTGATGAATTTTTTTAAAAAAATAAAAAAATCAAAATTTCAAAGCTTCAAGAATAGCTTAAAACACATGTGGCCACCCTGTTTGAGTGAAATTTAAATTTTTGAGGTGCCAAAAAAATGAAAATTTTCAAAACTTCAAAAATGGCTTAAAATACATACGTAAGCTCTTTGAGTGAAATTTAAATTTTTGAGGTGCCCAAACAAAAGAAAAATAATAAAAAATAAAAATTTTCAAAACTTCACAAAATGGCTTAAAATACCGTACACCCATCTTTGATTTTTGCCTTTAAAAATTAACTGAATTGAAGGCCAATTTCAATTTGAAAGTTGGAAAATTGATTTGAAACACTAACTACCCGCAACATCATAAAACAAAATGTGATCTTCTAAATAGTAACTTACATTATGAGGTTTTGCCTTATGCTCGAGATGGTAGCGGGACAAGGTTCGAGATAATCGACCCCAATCGATACTATTGGACTCGTAAGATATCTCAGTGTACTGCTGCAATCCTCTTACAATAATTTTTCTTTAGGTAATAAGAGTACCAACATAAACCTAACCTCTATGAAAAGGACATTTTGGCAATATAACTCCTCGGATATGGGTTCTCACACGATCAACTAAAGCGTTCTAAAAGCCATCTCGAATCCTATAAGATTTTTTTTGGAAAAGACTACAAACATGTCTCGCATGAATGCCAAACTCGACTATCTAACTTTTAAGGTTCTAAATGGTCGAGTGATCAAGTGAACGTAGCAGTATTTGTCATCGCTAGTTCTTCATCAATAAGTGCTACTATATGATATATGCGCACACCGGATGCATAAGGGCATCTCATACGTGTTCCTCACTTTCTAGATACATGACCGTATATACCCCAACTTAAATGTGAGACAAAGTTCATGTAGGTTCAATATAAAAAAGATTGCAAAAAGAGTAGCACGATGGTTCGAATCGAATTAGAAAAATTAATAGTGAATTAGTTTATTAGGATTTCGATTATGCACCACCCGCAGGAGGAACTCCCCCGGGCGGGGCGGCGACCTAAGTTGCAGGCAGAGAATACTCCGGACGGTGGAGGGGGGGCGGCTGCCGCCGGAGCCTTGGGGGGGGGTGGGGTGGGGGGTCCCAGTCCAAGGAAATTTGGAAACAAATTTACAAAAAAAATAAAAATGGAACAAAAAAATTTTTTAAAAAAAGAAGAAGAAGACATGAGAAAAGGGATAGTGGAAAAGTGGTCCCTACTCTTTTCTTTTCTTTTTTGAATAGGGCTGTGGGGTTTGTAGGGATCAACTTCTGACACCCTCTTCAGGGAATTGCCTCCTCCCCTTTTTTATTCCCCAAAAATACCTTCCTCCCAAATTATTTTCTTATTTATGTTATTATCATTGTTTTATTATTTTTTTGGGGGGGTGGTGACAAAATTACATGAAATTAACACCCCCACACACACACCTTCCTCTGTCCTTTTAATTATATTCGCGACAGCGACCACTACTTCAGTACTAATGACCCTGGTTTCATCATTGAAACACCCCCCTATGGCCCCCCCCCCCCCCAAAAAAAAAACAGAGATAGAAAAAAACAAAAATTAAATGCCTTGTCATCTAAGATTACTCGTCGTGAAGTTTGTGCCGCCGCATATTAAATATGTTAGCGCAATTAAATTGCCAGAGTAGAATTAAATAAGTGGACTGCAATAACCCTTTTAAATACATATTGATGACATCACTTAATCTATTCATTTCGTCAGCTAATTTTACTGCACTTTACTATTTATTTTTAAAAATTCAACATCCATCGTTTCAGGGTTTGTTAAATCAAAACATATACACATCTTGCGGTAATATCGAGGGAAAACGATATAAATGATTCTTGAACTCTGGCCTAATGTGCAATGTGGTCCCTGAACTTTTAATTTGTTCAATGTGGTCATTGAATTGTAATCCAATATGCAATATGATTCATAGACTTTTTATTTATTCAATGTGATCTCTAGACTTTTTATACATGTTCAACTTAGTCTCATAGACAATATTGAATATTTTCATATAATTTATGGACTGAGTTAAATATGTACCAAAAGTCCAGGGACCACTTTGAATAAATTAAAAGTTCAGGGACCACTTGTACATTGGGCTACGGTTTATGGATCACTGTGAACAAATTAAAAGTTCAGGGACCACTTACACGTTGGGCTATGATTCATGGATCACATTGAATAAATTAAAAGTTCAGAAGTCACATTACACATTAATTTGAAATTCAGTTACCATTTGTGTTATTATTCATGATATCAAATAGAGGATTACATAAGTTGGTCGTTGAATGCATTCCACTTTTTTATCAAGTGCTAATCGTACCTTTTTTTTTGGGCGACAGTGTTATTCATACTTATGTTATACAGTGTATGGCCTCGGTTCGCACCTTTTCCATGGCCTTTAAACAAATAGAAATATAATGATTATATTGGAATGACGTCATATCAGACATATCATATGATATATAAGATTACATAAATGATAGACTTCATGTTAAAGAAGCTGCTTTTCTTTCGTAACATTAATTTGTAAACTAGCATGCGTGTTTGCTGCGCTCATATCTTAACAGCAACCTTTTCTTTGCCGAACCACAGTCGTAAATCGATATATTGCAGTCTTAGCTCATGATATTTCCCATGCACATAAGGACACAAGTTTTTCACATTGAATATATAATTTTCAAGGTGCAAATAATCTCTCTTAGCATTATGGGAGCGCTATTTTGTTAGGATAAAATAGCGGGTTCAAATTTTCGACTCGACTAATCGTCAGAAGTTATTAGGATAAAAAGGTCCCTAATAACCTATCCTGAAAAAAAAAAAACAACCGATCATTGTATTCGTAGAAAGTTTCAATGGACATATATATGTTCAAGTGATCCTAACATAACCTTGGATTTTTTTTTTCCTAAACGACATCGGATTGGGAGACCAGAATGGGGTCACTATAGTCCACCAATTTTTTTGTCTTTTTACAAGGTATTTTGTCTTGAGGAAATCAAATCAAGAAGGTGAATATGAAACGGACATTTTATAAACGGAATCGCCCGACAATTGATATAGTTTTCTTTTGTCGCAACAATTAATATAGTTAAAGGCGTCAACTTTTCTCTAGTTGTATAAGTTATATCATGCAAATAAATTAATGTACACACATGCTTTATCTACGTGAAAAGTTGACGATTATTGGCTATAGGCTGTCGCACTTATCTAAAGTTTAACTGTGCTCCTCGTCATCTTGATTGATGACATTTTTAATTAATTCAGATTGTTCCTCCCACAGGCATTTATTATATATGTATATACATTGTCCCTATGCAATATTTACACATAATCATTAAATCTTTCTTTTTATAATCCAAAGGCATTGGTGTGGAGATTCAATAAATTGAAGACCCATCAAACTTCTTGAATTGATTAAGTCTAGAGCATTTGACCTGTGTATATGGCTCCGACATAGAGCATTTTGCACATAGTTTGGTGGACGTCCCCAAGCACCTCAATAGCGCTGACCCTGGGGTTGTGAATCAATAATTCAAGACACAAATGTTGCATTCGAGATGGGATGAGAGCACAGTTTGTGTACATGTATGAACGACAATGAATGTGAGAGAGATGAGAGAGAGGTGGAGATCCGGAAAGGTCAGCCCTCGTTCAAACAACACCCGGCAAGGTTGCCTCGGCCTAGGCGAGGGTCGGCCTCGCCAGTTTTGGTGAGAGGGGCCTTTGCCGGTGTTTGCCCTCGCCCAAGTGAGGCCTGGCGGGGCTGACCCTTGCCTGTGGCAGGCAAGAATAAGTGAGGCCAGCTCTACCGATCCTGGCTTGGGGCCGGTGCTCGGTGATCGGCCACTGCCAAATAGAAAAGGAAAAGAAAAAAAAAATTATTTAAAAAAATGTTCACTTCAACGCCGGCCGTGTTACGTAGAACCGCCGGCATCTATCCATGTCAGCGATTTCCTACCTAAATTGATCGAATAGACTAAATTGGCACAAATACAAAAGGTTTAGGATTAAATTGATCCAATTAAAAGCTTTAAGACTGAATTGGTACTAATGCAATAGGTTTATAACTTTTTTTATACTTT